CATTTACTAGACAAGGAATCTGGCAGAATATTATGAATCTGACCACTGAAGAACCAGGGTCACCAAAACCAGTATTGACAGTCTCAAGTTTGGCAAGTAACATATCATCGCGAGTGTTGCCACTGCAGCAGTTCAGAAAGGAACACATTGCACACTTTCTTATGGTCAGATATACAACACTTTAGGCAGCATATACCATTATCAATCTATACCTTGCAGTAAGTGGACTACTGTAGTAGTCCCTTATAATATCATTCCCCTTGTCATCCCGAGCACCAGCACACTGAGAAATTCAAATAGGAAGGACAAGTAGAAATAACATTAAGAGAAATGGGAAACAAAAATATGTCAAGACACTAGGAAGAATAATCAAATAACTCTGTTGATGTCCCAAGACTAGAAACAAAGAAAGAATCTTCATCCTCCATGGCACTCTTACAATACAATCTTTTCAAAAAGATTATTCAAACTAGTACTCATGCCTAGCTTCTGCTCATTATAGCATAAATGACTCAAATTATTCGATCTTGTTATCATTGCATTGCTAAGCACAAGTGACATTTATATTTATTTTTTAGATACTCTCTTGTCATAAATCTCCAATGAAAAATCACTAATTATCTGTGTAGTACTTGTAGTTGTGGAACCAGTAGAACTCAAACTTGGAGCCATGGCTGAAGCAACAGTGCTTAACTTGTCTCCATTCCCATTACTTTTTGACACACAAGAGTTGCTCAAATGAACCTCATTAGCAGCAGCAATAACAGAGATTTTTCGGTTATCAAAAAAGGATTCTCTATTTTTTGTTAAGGAACAAAAACAGAAATTAGATGCATAACCACCTTTGAAATAACAATAACAAGTGTTGAAGCCAGCTCAGGGCCAACAATCACTGAAACTACATTACTATTTCCATTCCCAAACAATCACTGAAACTACATTACTCGTACGCAAACCCGCTATGTCATATGCTTGAATTGGAATGTATCTGAATTCTTTCAACAACATTGTTGATAGGTTCCAAAGTTATCAACTTAAAAGTTTTGGCAACTAATTAAGTGTAAAAGTAAACCTAAGGTAAGATACAACTATCTGATGTTTTCAGTCATTTCAGAAGCAACCATATTTCTAAATCAATAAATCAGTTCTTAGATAATATTCACTCATTAATGATATTTACTCTTTACATCCATGGCAGCAGCACACCAAGTTATTAACAGAAAAGCTTCACTTTGCCACCAAAAAGTGTAAATTTCTACAACTTATATCTGTGTAATATGAAAAACACATTCCAAAAATGGGAAATGTACCGTCTATTGATTTGAATTACTTTTGCAGATAGTCGAAGTTAATTTCTTTGAGAATGACTTGTATAGAACTGAGTATAAGAGCTGTGGCAATACATGAGACAATTAAACCACCACCAATAACAACCTTCTCTATTTTCAATGGTATGTACAGGTACTAGCCGTAACTGATTGTGCAATTTCCCTTCATATTATCTTCTGCAATGTTCAGTCCAAATAGGTCAAAATAGCCAAGCCTATGGTTTGAGATTATTTTTATCATGCAGGCATACAGAAAAAAGAGAACTCTTAGAAGGTCGTTTCAGTCCAAGCTGAATTAGAAGCTCCAGATGGCTCATTTTGTTTCTTATACGATATAAGCAGGCTCATAGACCAAGGAATTTAGTGAACTAAACTTACCTTTGCTCTTTGCAGTGATGACTGGATGACAAAGTTACCATAAGGGTCCATCAGTAGCATTGAACCACTTGGATTACTGAGCAGCTCGGTGATAATTCTCGTTGAGTGCTTTTTTCTTGAATCGAGGATAATTTTCTCAACAACATTACTAGCGTACTTATTGCAAGAGAGAGTCAAAAAGTTTCCTTGAAGCCTATCAATTAAAATATATGTAACTCTTGGTAACTTCAGTCCCAAAAGATGTTGCACCATATAGTTGCTACATCAAATAAAACGTAAAAGCAATTAGACCTATATAGCAACTGCACTTTCACACATTACATAAGCACAAGAAAAAGAAAACAAGTCATACCCATATTGATCTTCTGATAGTTGCACTGCATTTGTCAATATCTCAGCAATTATGCAATCTCTGAGTTCTCCACCAGCAGATTCTACACATGA